CATCTGTTGCTTTTATAATTGAGAAAAGGCAAAGGAAGAAACTTTAGAGGAAAACCTACGCATCAGAAAGAGCTTTACATCAAATGATCTAATATATGGTGGGTTCAGTTCCTGTACCTCAAAACCCAGACCCACCTCTATTTGCAGAGGGCACTGGCTCCATAGCCAGAGTGGAAGGAAGGATTCTGGGGCATCCTTTATGGTAGGTTTGTTCCTGTCTTTCTGTGGGGCCCCAAAGGCCAGGCAGTGGGGAAGAGCTATCAGCAAGGACACCCGTGACTCTTGTCGCTGTTAGAAACAGCAGGCTTATTCCATGGCTTGCTGGAAAGCTTCCAAGGAGAGGCTTACAAGCAAGTTGGAAGACTAGGGAGTTAACATGCTTTAAATCTGCCTTTTCCCAAACCCATTACCTTGAAAACCAGAATGGAAAAAGGAAAGAAAGCACCCTTTTAAGACTGAAATTAAAACATTTTTTAAATTGAAAGAGACATTTACCTGAATTTGGTATACTAAACCCTGATGAAACTAAGCTTATACACCTTTATAATCTATATATCACAATAAAGTTCCTATTAGTCTGATATTTTGGGCCAAAAAACCTCTCCAGTCTGTCTGCTAGCTGCAGCTATGGCTTGAATTTATGTGTCAATTAGCAGGTTGGTCTCATCAAAATAGCCGGGTCAGATTTAGCATGTGGATACGCTTCTCAAATATGGGAAAGAAATGAAAATGGCAAATAGTATCTATAAAACAGGTATTCCCAAATGCTGTCAGGATGGCCCGACAACCTTCTAATGCAAACACCCTGCAGAAACAGAAAACCCTTCCTGGTTGTAAATGAGGAGCATCAGGATGATGAAAGAGCGTATAAGCTGACCTTTTGAATGGGACTTTCTCAGCCAGGAGCCCTGGTGTGGGCTTCTGGGAAAACGTCTCATGTAAAATGTTAGGCTTGTGAATATTTGTCATGTGTGTTTTTCTGGAGAGAGGCTCCATAAATTTCATCAGATTCCCAAAGCAATCTGTGACCACACAATACAGGGACACCCACCAGCCTTTTCTGCTGCTGCTCCTGTTTTCTTTGGGCAAGTCTGCTGACATAAACTAGATGGGGAGCCCCCTGGCTTTCATAGTGGACAAGTGACACTGACAATCAGGGAAAAATCACACTCTTGCCTAAATAGTCGAGCTACTGGGGACAGTTCAGTCAATGGTAAAAAGAGGTCATTGGCTGGGAGGCACCCAGGAACTAACAGGTGAGCCTTAGCTTGAGCCCACTGCCCAGAGAGGAACAAATGACCCCCCTGGAGAAAACCAAGACAGCAAAGCTAGGCACCAGGAAATCTTAGGCAAGACGACCTCAGGAGCAACAGTGTGGACAGGGAGAAGAACATGGGCTTTGGAGCCACACAGGGCTGTGTTCAAATCTGGGCTGATACAAGCCATGAGGCCTTGGGATGGGGATGATAATGGCGATGACAACAGTATCTGTGATGAACTATTATTTCCTGACAGCACATAGTCTAGTGTATAGGAAGCAAGTACTTATTTATGTATAAAATAACATGTTATTTCACTTCATTTTCACAGCAACCTATGGACCCTCTCTATATTATCTCCATTTTCTAGATCTGGAAAAAGAAGGTTAAAGAGATTAATAGGATGCCCAAGGTCTACAATTCAACCCACTCTGTTTGGCTTTATAAAACAAACCCAGGTTTGTTGGACTCTTCACCTGACCCATGCTCTTAACCAATGAGCCCCACGGTACTGCCAAGCCTCAGTTTCCTCATCTGTAAGAAGGATAATAAAATTCACCTCTGCACAGTGATAAGGATTAGACAGAAGTGTGTGAAGTGCTTAACACAGTACCTGGCATAGAGAAAGCTCTATAGTGTAGCTACTGAAGTTATTCCTATGACATCTGGACCTTTAGAAGAGAGAGGGAGGCATGGGAGGTGGGCATCTGGCAATGCAGATGCTATAGCATTTCACCTCACAGGACTCAACAAACAGGATGAGGAACTTTGGACCAAGACTTACAAGCCTGGGATGGCTCACTCTTGGTTAAGAACAGCGAAGGGACACCTTAGCAAGATGGGCAAGAATGCAGTTACTCAGGGATGAAAACCTTTTCGTCAAAACTTGGAGAGGATGGGGGATTTTTGGAGGAAGGAATAAATCAAGTTCAAGAAGAAAATTCTCAAGAGGCAGTACCAAACAGCATGGCTCTGCCTGGGCTGGGAATGTGTGCCCACTGCATAGGAACAAGAGTTCCTATGCATGTTGGTGGTAGGACAGAGGCTGAACCCCCAAGTTATCGGTAAACCCTCCTGGAACTTGGGTAGAGTCTAGGCATTCTAAAAGAGGAGTATTTGGTGGAGCAAGTCTCTTTGGAGTTAAATTAGGAGAAATGTACCCATTGTAAGAAAGACTCGGTGACTTAGTCAGCTTGTGGTGTGTAAGATCCAGAGACCTGTCTGCAGGAAGAAAAATCTGATTCAGTGATGCCACTGCCAATGCTCTTAGAGTGAACTGGGGAGTTGACAGAGCAACAGATTCATTCCCCAAAGAGCCAACAGCCTTGCAGAGGACGTGCAGCCCAGGGCTGACATTCATCTGGAGGGAAAGCACCATGCCTTACCCTAGACAGCTCATCCCTTCCTGTTCTTATAAAGGCATCACCACACCAAGTTATCCCGATAGGCACCAAATATACTGCAAGGTCTTCCATCCTGTCATTGGTCCCCTCTTCTCTGTTCCCACAGCTCTACACCGGGCTCGGCATCAATTCCAGGACCATTTTAACTGCCTCTAACTAGTTCTGCGGCTTCCTCCTACAGTCCAGCCCCCACACTGCCACCAGCTGGCTTTCTAAAATAAAACTGCTGACCACGTCACTCACCTTCTGAAAGATGTCTACTAGATTTGCACTGCCTACAGAATTAACAACAAAGTCTTAACTTGCATTCATTCATTCATTTTTTTCATCACCAATCTCATGTGTGAGATCACCTACTGTGTGCCAGGCCGTTTTAGGCCCAGGAGATAGAGTGGTACATAAAACAGGTAAGACAAGAATCCATCCTCCCGAACTTACACTCGAGTGGGGCAAGACAAACAATAAAGAAGACAAATAAATATACCACATAAAGTTGGGTAGTAATGAGTACTAATGAAGAAAAATAAAACAGGGTAAAAAGGGGTCAGGTAGGACAGGGCTTTTTAGATAGGTGAAAGGCCACTTAAACAGAGCTTTTTGGGTAGGTGAAAAAACCACTCAAATGGAGACCAGGATGGAGTGAAGGTGAGCCAGGCAAGGATGTCAGGGAAAAGTGCTCCAGGCAGAGAACAGCAAGTGCAAAGGCCCTGAGGCAAGAAAGAGGAACAGCAAGAAAGACACATTAGCTGGAATGGAGTGAACAAAACAGAGTGCTAAGAGATGAGACGAGATAAGTAGGAGGGTCTGACTGTCCATGGTAAGGAGTTTAGATTCTATTCAAAGGATGCTAGGAAGCCATCAGGGAGTTTTGAGCAGGAGGAGTGAAACAATCATATTTACGTTTGAAAGGCCACTCTGTGTGGGAGACTGGTAGTAGTGGGGTCAGAGTGGCAGCATGGAGGCCTGAGAGATGGGGGCCATCTGGATGAGGGTAGAGAGATGTGGGAACTTTCAAGATGTACTCTGATAGGACAGCTGTCAAGTACTGCAAACAGATGGTGAGGACAGGGAAGAAGCCAGATCAGAGATGATGCCTAGATCTTGGGGCCTGGGAAACCAGGTAAAGGGTGGTGCCATATAATATAGGAGAGACTGGAGAGGAGCAGTTAAAAGAAAAAAAAATCAAGACTTGGTGTAGTTATGTTGGATCTGGGATGCCAAATAAGCATCCAAGTGTGGGTGCCGAGTGGGTATTTGAGCTGGGGGCTCCAGAGAAAGATCCAGGGTCATCAATGTACAGATAACCACCAGGCCATAGCAGCTTAGGTCCTCCACCCCTTGACCCCAGCTCTAGACACACACCCCAGTGTCACCTTCCCCAGGACTCTGGCCTCCACCCTGCAGCTCCTCCTACCTGGAATGCTGGGCCTGGACTTCTGCAGTGTAGATTCCTACTCATGTCTTATATCTACGACTTGCTCAAGTCACTTCCTGTCTGTGGAGCCCTCCCAGGAGGGAGCCACTTGGTCCACTCTCCTCCTGAGGTACCCTATTACATGTCTTGGTGACAGCACAAGCCCTTGTGTCACCAACTGTCTATCTGCACCTTTCCTCCCTGTGAGCTCCTGGGAGGCAGTGACTACAAGTCTATTCCTCTGCACCCCACTTCCTAACATGAGGCCTGGGCATGGCAAACATTTGCTAAATGAATGGAGTTCTCATCTCTGCAAAGAGGCACCTAAGAAACCATATACATGCAAACTGACTCATGCTGCAGCTGCTGTCTGCAAGGGGCAAAAATAAGGCGCTGTCACCAAAGCACTAATAAAGCTCAATGGGGTAGAATGATACCTTCCTCTGAGGAGTCTGTTAACACAAAAGAGCCTCAAGAAATCTAAGAGTTGACTATCTCAGGGTATTGCGAGGTATAAAGAATGCTGTACCTGAGGAAGGTGTTGTGGGTTTTGCTGCGGAGTCCAAACCCAAACAGCGAGTCCACAACCAAATCTCGTAGGAGTTGGAGACAGGGAAAAAGAAACCAACCTTGTTTACATGCACTCTTTAATCCTGAGAGTGAGGATGGAAGCAGGTCCTGTTTGTCCTCCTTTACAGATGCGGAAAATGAGTGTCGAAGAGGTAGGTAATTTGTCCAAGGTCAGAGAGCTGGGAAATACTGGAGCCAAGATTCACACTCAGATCTTCCTGAAGCCCTTCCAGCAAGCTCTACAGCCTCACCCCATCTTATGAGATCATATGGTGGGCAGGATCCTTAGGAACCCCCTGAGCCCCAGACTACAACATGGAGGAAACATAGTTCTGGAGAAGGGCTGTGATTTACCTGCTGTTACTGAGGAGTTACCAGCAGAACTGAAGTTGGAATCTATGTCTCTGATCTCCAGGCCAGGTTCACAGGGCATTCATTACAAATGAACTTGGTCAGATACTCCTTAAAGAGCAGAGATAAAACAAAAAATAGTTTACAAGTAAGTGGAGAAATAAAAGCCAGAAGAATAGGAAACTGTCTTTCCTCAATTAGTATCACTGCATGATTTGGGGACCCCATTTAAAAAATTATATATTTTTTATTGAAGTATAATTGATATACAATATTGGTTGAAAGTATATAACACAGTGATTTGACAGTCATCTACATGATTGAATGCTCACCCCAAAAGTATAGTTACTACCTGTCAACATAGAAAGATATTACAGCATTATTGACTATATTCTCTATGCTGTACATTCATCTTGGGGACCCCACTAATAGGTGGGAAGCTAGGAGAGAAAAGAGGAAAATGGCCACCACTCTGAGTAAGTTACAAAAACAGCAGTATGAATGGAACTGACCACTGTGTGGCAGCTTTCTCATTTGTTCAGACAAATGTTTGCTGCCCACCTACTGTGTGTAAGACCCTGAGTAAGGCAGCAGAAGTCCCTGAGTAAGGCAGCAGAAAAAGGAAAAGAACCCTAGAGTTGAACTGTGGCTTCCTAGCTTGCGTAATATTCAGTATGTTAATCTCAGTTTCCTCATCTAAAAAAGAATTAAGGGTTTGTTTCACAAAGTTGTTCTGTGTACTAAATGGGAAGGAACATGCCCCTGGTACATAGGAGACATGCAGTAAACATCAACTAGCTGGCAGGTTGTTCACTGAAGAGAAAGCAAAAGAACTTACTGTAGAAAAAAGGAATGGAAAAAATAATAGTTAAACCAAAGGTCTTGTAAAGACTTAGCAGAGTGAAGTGGCATTATTCTCTGAGGGTTAACTAAGGCACAATGAAATTCTTTAAGAAACTTTCAGTGGCTGAGTATCTTGAGGAAAGGTGGGGAGTAGGAGAGGCAGAATGATAGGAAAAAGGACATGGAAAAGAGAGGATGAGTTTGAATATATTGGTGTATTGGTCTAAAAGTCAAGAGAAGTTAAAATATATATATATAAAAAAACAATGTAACTTTATCACTAATGGATAGAGTTGCCTATTAATTATGTATGGCCTTATTTTCTCTGTCAAGCTTCTATTCAACCCTCAATACCCTACTTGCTTGATGACTTCTTCCATCCACCCCATCTGGAGGTTAATTGATCTCTCTTCTATCAACTGATTCTATGACAAATTACATGATCTCTGCTTATTGGGCTCTCCTACCAAATAGTGAGCTCCTGCGAGTACATGTTGTTTAAGCTCATGTGGTAGTCTTCCCCTGGCCCTAGGATCCCTAGCTAGCAGCCACCAGTTTGGAGTACCCCCAGAGGAGAACCTTCTCTCTACAGCAGGAAAATGAGAGAGAACTCACATTTATAAAGAGTCTTCTCTGTGCTGAACATCTGTGAGACACTTTTCAAATCTTAATTCATGTATTCATCAAATGCTCCTATGAAAGAATTATTATCCTTCTTTTGTAGAAGGGGACACTGGGCTCAGGGAGGTGAGCTCAAGAACCAAAGGTCCACACTGATAATAAAAGTACTGCGGGCAGGATTTGAACCCAGGTCTTTCCGACTGCAGATCCCTGTTTTCATTAGATCAGGCAAACCACCCTGTGTGGGTCTAATAAAGCTGAAGGCACCTTAGATGGATAAGTGGTCTGGGCATCAAATCTACCTGCAGGTTCACACAAGAGGTTAGTGCTAAGGAGCTCTGGCCAATATGGAATCACCTGTTAGCAAAAGCCAGACACCAGATCAGAGATGCAGAGAGGAGGTCTCTGGAGAAGAGAGAATTCAAAATTTCACATGCAGTTAATAGTTAATAGTGGGTAAGACTGTTAACTCCCATCTCCCGAGACCCGTCCTTTGTAAGGAGAAGATAAAGTCTGGATCAGCAGTTCTCACCCACATGTGGTCAGTTAAGGCCCCTGGTCAAGAACTCACAAATCCTTCCCAAATGCTAAGGAAACATTTGAGAACATGTGGACAAATGTGACTACAGTAAGTCTGGGAATGTCACCTCCTGTGCCTCTCTCCACCCCCAGCTCAGTAAAGGAACTTCTTCCATGGTGTGCCATAGGCCAAAAGCTATGTCTCCACCTCTCAAGGGTCTAATTCCACCACATCAGTGTCAGAAGTCTTGTGTCTGGTGTGCTGTCCCTTATCAGCTGTGTAACACTCAATAAACCAGAACTTTCTTGAGCCTAAGCATCTCCAGATGTAAAGAGTGGGGAGTAGGAATGCCTGCTTCACAGGGAGGTCCTAGGGGTACTATGAGAAAATACACACAGGAAGCACCTGTCCGTGTAAAATGGCATTCAGATGGAAGGTGAGGGTACTGCACTACATCGCCTGCCATCTCTCCCTGCTCAAGTCTCTTGGGCCTAAGGCCTGGCACTCTCCATGTAAATGCCGACCCAGCCCTCGGTGGAAGGACAAGGCAGTCCTGCTAAAGCCATGAAAAAGGAAGCCAGGATTTGCTGTTATTTTCCCAAAGGCTATCTGACACAACTGAGATCCTTAGGTAAGTACTTAATAATTAAATTTGTCACAATATTTGGGGACATTTTTGCCACCTTACAGGATGATAACCATTACTAAGATCAAGGCATGAAAATAATTTAACTAAATCTATAGACTTATGTATTTTGAATGCTTTTCTAAGACAAATGGATTGCTTTTATGTCATATTTGTCAGTTTTGAAAGTTTTCCTTCTCTTACTCACTTTAAAGCAAAAGCTAGATAGTGGAACCATGACCTCTTGGGAGGAGTGTGAATTGGTACAACCTTTCTGGGGAGCAATTAGGCAACTGGATTCAAATTTTAAATGGCTAACTGTTTAAGCCAAAAGTCCCCCCCCTTCCAGGTAGGTACACCACAGAAAATGCCATGCAGAAGCTGACAGGTGTGTGTAACAACTTCCACGGCAGAGGGGCTGCAATGGCAGAAGATCAGAAACAACCGAGCATCTACCAACACAGGAATGATTAAATAAACTTAAAATGCATGCAGACCATGGAGTACAATGGTCCAGAGTGATATGGTACATTTATCTCTACCTATCAACTTGAAAAGACAGCCATAATAATTGACAGTCAGCTATAAAAAGGAAAGCTGCAGAACAGTATGTAGAGAGAGATTCCATTTTTACAAAACTAAAGTAGAAATGGGTGTGTTGAGGGTGAGGACAAAGGAGGTAGGGGTTGGGGCGACACAAGCAAATGGGAAAGTCCAGCACTGCACCCACAAGTCTCCACAGTGCCTGCTTGGGGAAGGCTGGGAGTGGAGGGGCACCGAAGACTCTCGTCCTTTATGTTAAGGCACTTCAGTGTTGTCTGAATTTGTTACAAGTGTATACTCTTTCACGATGACAAAAACAAAAACTAGATTTTGAAAGCTCATAGAATAATAATTTTAAAAATTTCACTGTTTGCAAAGACTCCCCTAAAGTAACGACCATGGGAAGCAACACCTGCTCTCCCAGCTCTGTGTGGCCCCCAGTCCTGTGTGGACTTCACTGCCCGGAGGCAGTGTGGCCTCACCAGGAAGACTCCAGATGAGGATGGTCTCTAGCACCGAGAGTCTCCAACTCCTCACCTATTTCATAAAGATTCTGCCAAATTATGATTTCAATGAGAAGCCTCATAGAAAGGACTCAGTGTCTTTAGTTGCTCAAATTTACAACATTATAAATTACTAAATTAAAGCAGTTTACTTGTTTTCAACCTCCCTTAAATAGGGGCAATCAGAATTTATATCCTACATTAGCCAACATTTTATGCTGACTTCTAAGTCCTGCTGAAGACTTAAAAATCATCAATCAGGAAATCCCATGGGGAGGGGAGAAGGTGACTCTGCTAAACCCAAAAGAGTGTAAATAAAACATTAGAGCAACTTGGATTATCATAAAAATGACAACACAGCGAATGAAGTGATTTTCCTATCTAGGGTCAAAGTTGCTAATAAAAATAAATTGAAGCACAGAGTCTAAGACGTGTTGGTTACTTCTAGCAGAGACTACAGATTCAATTACCTATAAGCCATGGAAAGGGGCAGCAGCTGGGCGGGCCCAGCAGACTGGAGAAACAAGCCCGGGTAAGAGGGGCCACCACTTTTCAGCACTTCCAGGAGGGAAGATGGACCCAGTGCTGGCAGACCTTGGATTTTTCATGAAGAGCTGGAAATCCAGATTTCTAGACAATGTCTACCAACTTTTAAATGTTAGCCATTAATTACAGAGTTTTAAAACATTGTGAGTGCTGAACAAAATACCTCTGTGAACCAGATACAACCAGTGAATAGAGAGGTTTCAACCACTGCCTTAAAGTATCTACCTTTTCTTCAATGGGTAATTTTTGCTCAATTTCATTTTTAGAAGGAGGGAAGGAGGCAGGGAAATGGTATGGAATGGAGATAAACACAAGATAGTCAAGCAGCTGATATTAAGAAAATATTTCTAGCATACGTGCGGAAACAAGGGTAGTTGTCTATAACAAATTGTCAATAGACTGTTTAAATTTATTCAGCTCTCCGAGGCACAAACCTCAGAGACTGAGAATTTCTCAGGTCCAAAGCAAATTCCCATAATTTGCTGTTAGTGAACCTATGAGAACCTACTACACTACTTGTGCTACATGTTTATCATAAGAAATCTGAAAGAATAACAGCAACCACGGAAATGCTCTTCTATGCCAGGCGCCGTCGGGCATTTGGCACCCGGGATCACCATGTGGGTCACACAGCCTCTGGGCATGATTCCAGGAAGAGCCTGTCTGATAAAACCTTCCTCCAAAAAAAAATCTCGAATAAAGATCTTAGACGTAACATCATAATTGTGCTCATTTTGTCCAAAGCCAAAACAATTAAACAGATATATTTGTGCTGATCATAATACCTGCACATGCGTGTCAGCTTTTCTTACATCTTGCTTACTTGCTCCTCACAGCCTTTAACTGTGCATTTTAGACTTTGCATCTTGTCCAAAGTCTTCTCACAGTTATAAGTAACAATGTGACTTTA